CCACTGTTTTAGCATCAAAGCGCCTGAAATCAGCTTCTGCCCGTCCAGGTTGCTGCAAAGAGTTAAAGTCATGGAAGGATAGATCCAGTGAGTTTATATTTCCCCCCCCATCCCCAAAACCATCTTTAATTAACAAAGAATCTAAAATGGTATACCATAAATCTGGCTACATAGAAGCCTTCAGGAAGTTGTTCATGGAACTGAAATGGCGGAGGAATGAATGGCACCCCCAATGTCACCACGCCGGAACCCTATCCGGATGGAGAACAGCAAAGAAGTTGGCAACCAAACCTCCAGTATCTTTCCCAATAACAAAGACCTACACTCCTAGATAAAGCAGGCATCAATGATCATACAGAATCAATAGTATTTGGCCTAAAATAGGATTTTTTGAGGTTAATAAATCATTGCACATCCTGCACACACTGATCTGATTCTAAAATAAAGGGGGAAATCAGAAATGCTAATTTTGTAATGTACCTTATTAACTCCAAGGTGATCTATGATGGCAACAACATCGCTAATCAAGTCAGCAAATGTTGCCTTCTCTGGTTCTGGTGGAGGGTCTGAAAGTCCATAGCCTCTGTAATCAGGTGCAACAGCGCGAAACCCGGCATTGGCTACAGCGACCAGCTGGTGGCGCCAAGAGTACCATATCTCCGGAAACCCGTGCAAGAAGAGTACCACGTTAGGACCTGAATATTGAAACTAACAATATGTTAAAAGCAAGGAATGTAAAAGGCTATGTGTAAGAAAGTGGAGTTAGGAGTTGGTACTTAGGAGTTCTCACCGTGACCGGACCCAAGTTCGGCAAGATGAAGCTTCAGCCCTTGAACAGTTATGAAGTTATGCTGGGTGTTGTCCATTTTCTCTTCCAAGATTTGGAGTAAAGAATGAGAAGAAGACGACCTCTGGATGCAGAATGTTTGGTTTAAGCTATGGATTGAAATATGCCTTGGAACCATATAACTAAGGATTCCTTGTAAAAAAGGTAAAAAATGATGAAGCATTTTTTATTTGATATTGAGAAGTTTTTATTTTTTTTTGGTTCCAGCCTGGTATTCGGGGGCTTCACTCCGATTAATTCGGACCGACCCGTATCGCATATCTGAAAATGGTGGGTGGGTTTCCCAACGAGGACTATTACGTATACAAAGTCTGTTATGCATACAAGTTCTCAAACTCGAGATCCTAAGTTAAAGAAGTTTTTATATTTGGGTTTAGGAACTTGATGAGTTGATCAATGCAAATTTAATTGAGCATGACAAACAGACATCACATGAAAATGACGTGATTTATTTTAAGTAGGATGCAAATGAAACCCCAAGAAGAATTGTACCACACGCCAACCATGGCCTTTGAAGAAGTTGATTATGGCATTTTATGAGTTCAAATAAGAGTTATGAATTCCAGTTATAGGACATGGAGATGGAGTTGGTAATGAAATAAGAAAAATTTTGCATTTTATCATGCAACCTCAAAAAAATTAGAAAAAAGTTTTTTGGAGGAGTTGGAATTGGAATTAGAGTTCAACAACTAACTGTACATATATTAAGGAAAGATAGTGATAGAGAAATAAATTTTTTATATTATTTTTTTATATAATTTTCACATATTATTAAATGAATGAATGTATTTAATATTATAAATTTCAAATAAGTAAAAAGAGTGAATCATTTAAATGACACATAAAGTTATATGAAAAGATGATATAAAAAAGTTATTTATAAATTATTTTTCTATTAAGGAATGTAAAAGATAAAGTTTATGATAATAAAAAAAGACAAATTCAAATTTTAAGGCAAGTAAGAAGACAAAAGAAAATGACTATCAGCTACCCTAAAATCCATCTTTTAATGTACTTGAAAAAAAAAAAGAAAAAAAAGGAGTGGAGTAAGAAGTTACCACCCGACCATTCGGCTAGATGAAGCCTCAGCCCTTGGGCTTGAACAGTGATGAGAAAAGAAAGCGTTGAAGGCTTGAAGCCCATATAAGCTGGCCATTTGGGCTAAAGGCCTAATAGCACAGCTCCACGAGATTCAACCATCGTTGTCTCTGTCTCTCTCCTTCTTCCCCGGCTATCATTCACCCGCAAACGTCAACCCTAAACAGGATCTCTTCTCCCTTCTCACTTCTCCTCCTCTCGTCGCTAATTACACCGCTTCTAACCTGATCCTTTGATTCGATAACAAACGGGATCGAGAAATCGAAGTCGTGGAAACCTAGATCAATCCTCCCAGTTGAGCTGCCTTGAGGACTTCGATAAAAACAGGATCGAGAAATCGAAGTCGTGGAAACTAAGATCAATCCTCCCGGTTGAGCTGATTTAAGGATTTTCAGATCAGGATCCGATCGCGTCTGAGGAGAACTCTTCTGAAAAAGGTAACTTTGGGCAACTTCTTTGCTTACATCTTTAAGCAAGTTGTTTATGCACTTTTACTTGCTTATCATCTGTTTCTTGTAATGGGTATTTTGCCAAAAGCTTGAATTGGTGTCTCATGGATTTTTTGCGGAAAAGTTCGCTGCTTTTATAGTTTGAATTTGAGTTTGATTAAGATATTGGATGGGATTATTGCTATATGATAGTATGTTCTTGGGTAAGGCTAAACACTATTACTCTAGTTAAATGGGTTAATTGGAATTTATATAGCTTTAGAAAGCTTGGTCTGCAACTTAATGGGGAAAAGTTACTTTCTTTGGGGATGGCTGTTTATTGCTATCTGTTGGTAAAATTTAAGCTAATAACTTCTGAATTTTTGTAGGAGTGGAGAGGAACTGTTCTGGCAGAGAAGGGACGGTGGAATAAGTGATCATGGCGGACTTGGAGAATTTGCTCCTTGAAGCTGCTGGGAGGACCAATACCGGGGGGAGAAATCGGCACTCACTTCCACCAACTAGGAGGAGACGAGAAGGTTCATATTCGGATGCTGGAAGTGACTCTAGGGATGATGATTCAGATAATGATCATGGATATGCTAGCAGGAAACCATCTGGATCACAAGTTCCTTTGAAGAAGAGGATGGAAGCCACCGATAGAGATGATGATCATGGTAGTCAGGGAGAGGGGGATTATGATGGTGGTCGTTCTGATCGTGAAGGTGACAGCAGTGATGAATCTGATATTGGTGATGATCTTTACAAGAATGAGGATGACAGGCGAAAGCTTGCACAAATGAGTGAACTTGAAAGAGAAATGATCCTGTCAGAGCGAGCAGATAAGAGAGGTGACAAGAAATTTACTGAGAAAATCAGATCAAAAAGGGACAATGAGAAGAACAGCCGCTCCAGAAAAGAGACTCCACCTCTTCAGTCATCCCGTGGTGTGCGATCATCAGCCAGATCTGCAGACAGGGCAGCTGCGAAGGATGATGCTTTAAATGAGTTGAGAGCTAAACGGTTGAAGCAGCAGGATCCAGAGGCACATCGTAAGCTGAGGGATGCACCCAGAGGAAGTTCAGGCGGTAAGGGATTTTCACCAATAAAGAAGGTGAAACCCTTCACATCGACAAGTCTAAGTAGCTCTAGTCAGAGTGAGAGTGAGAGTAGGTCTAACAGTGAAGATGAAGGTTCATCAGAGGATGATGGAATGCTTGACAGTGATGATGATAGAGGCACACGGGGGCCAGAAGGGCCAACATTTGAAGAAATAAAAGAAATTACTATCAGGAGGACAAAGCTTGCAAAATGGTTTATGGAGCCATTCTTTGAAGAGTTGATTGTGGGATGCTATGCGAGGGTTGGAATAGGGAAGTCGAAAAATGGTGCTATCTACAGGCTCTGCATGGTTAGAAATGTTGATGCCTCGGATCCTAACCGGCAATACAAACTAGAGAACAAAACAACACATAAGTATTTGAATGTAGTTTGGGGCAATGAAAGCACTGCTGCCAGGTGGCAGATGGCTATGATTTCAGACTCCCCACCAACAGAGGAGGAGTTTAGACAATTGCTCAGGGAGGTTGAGCGGCATGGAGGTCGAATGCCAACCAAACAAGATGTGTTAGAAAAGAAAGAGGCATTACAAAAGGCCAAAACATTTGTCTACTCAGCCGCTACTGTTAAACAAATGTTACAGGAGAAGGAATCCACGTTATCAAGGCCACTGAATGTTGCAGCTGAAAAGGAGCGGTTGAGGAGGCAGTTGGAAATCGCTCAAAGCAAGCATGATGAGGCAGAAATGGAGAGGATCAAGACAAGGCTGCAGCAATTAGAGGCATCCCGACAAACACAAGAGAAAGATAAGAAGGCTATCAGATTGGCTGAGATGAACAGAAAGAACAGAGTTGAGAATTTTAAAAATGCCTCAGAACTGAAACCTGTAAATACCTTATTAAAAGCAGGGGAGGCTGGGTATGATCCATTTTCAAGGAGGTGGACTAGATCAAGGAATTACTATGCTGCAAAGCTGGCAGGAGGAGAATCAGCAATGGCTAATGGTGATGCTAATGGTGCATTGCCTGGTGGAAATATTAATGGAGCAAGGACTGGGCCTGTGGCAGAGGCTGGCATGGCAGCTACAGCCGCTGCCTTAGAAGCTGCTGCTGGTGCAGGGAAGTTAGTTGACACAAGTGCTCCTGTGGATCAAGGGACTGAATCTAACATGCTTCATGACTTTGAAGTTCCAATCACGTTGACCACACTACAGAAGTTTGGTGGCGCTCAGGGAGCCTTGGCAGGATTCATGGCTAGGAAACAGAGAATAGAAGCAACTGTTGGATATCATGTCCCAGAGAACGATGGGAGGAGACATGCTCTTACATTAACTGTTGGGGATTACAAGAGAAGGAGAGGTCTTCTTTGAAATATGATATTGCATCCTGGAGGTGTCTGTTCGGGTATCAGTATTGTCGTGCTGCAGTTATTAGACTAGGTGGAGCTTGTCATTTGAAAAAGGAGACAAGAAAAATCCTGTTATGTTTTTCCCCAGTGTGAGTATGTGTAGCCTTTAGTTTATTGAATTTTGTCGATGCATTATCTTCTATGGCAAGAAATTTTAACCTTTAATTTGTTTCATGGGAAGCATATGGGATAATCGAATTAGAAACTGCGTCGGAAATTGGAGCTATTAAAATCAATCACACAGCAAATTATATCTCTTTTAGTTTATCTTAAAAAATTGTTTATATATATTGGACAGGGTTAAATTTAAGAAATAAAATAAATAACTACATTAGTCAATGAAATGTAATGGAATTATTTGAAATTAAAACTAACCTCAAATAATTTTGAAAATAAAATTAGTAAAAAAATATAATTAATATGATATTAATGTTTTATTGTAAATGGTAATGAATGAAAATTATATAATATATTTTAATAAATTTAATGAATAAAATTGTTATAAAATCAATTAATTTTAAAAATAAAATCTTTAAAATTAAGGTAAAA